GATCTGGTTTGTAATCTGGTCTGTGATCTGGTCTATGATCTGGTTTGTAATCTGGTCTGTGATCTGGTCTATGATCTGGTTTGTAATCTGGTTTGTAATCTGGTTTGTAATCTGAAATCTGGTCTGTGATCTGGTCTGTGATCTGTGAGTTTTCCGTCCTTCTCTTCCTGAGTCTCTGTCAAACTGAAGTGATTCTGGATGAAGCTGCACCTTGAACTCTTTGAACCTTCAGACCAGGATCTAAATATCATTTCATACAAACTAAAGAAAAACTGAATTAAAAACCATCATCAGCTGCCCATTCAGACCACGACTTCCAAACGACTTCCAAACAAACATTACTCAGTTTTCAAATGGTTTTCTTTTTCATCTGAAAAGTGTGGCATGCATTTGTACAAAATGTGAAGAAGTGTTGAAGCCAACATCCCAACATTATGGACCCACAGGGGTTTTTCTTATTGCATCACCTGAATTGGAAACACTCTGGTCTGTTTGGTTCGAAGTCACAACAAACATCAATTTACAAAAACACAAACTTTAAAGATCCTCAGTGAAAACCTGTTTATTATTTATTATTTGATGCAGAAAACCAGATGAAAATCAATCTGTTCACTTGGTGTTGAAGTTTGAACATAAATAAATAAATAAATAAATAAAGAGAAGCAGATCAGAACCCGGCCTGTCAGCAGAGGGCGCTGTGGCACACCGAAAAAAATCATCTTTCCTCCGTTTGCATTTTGAAGGTTTGTAAAGCGTCTATATGAGAAAAATGATTTAAAACTTCAAACCTCTGTCACAAACAAGAGTTTGAAGGCAACTTACATGTAAAAGGGCGGTGGCAGCATCATGCTGTGGGGATGCTCTTCTCCAGCTGAATCCAAGACATCCTGAACATACAGCCAGATTAATGCATGTCCATGTTAAACTGGTGTAGTCAAAGCCCAGCCTTAAAAAACTGCTGTTACATATTGACAAACAGATGTTTACAGATTCCCAAGAATCCAGAAATGTGCAAATTAAACTTCCTGGCTGATATTGATCAGAATGAGTTCAGTTCAGAATCAATATTTTATTATAAAAACTAAATATTTTTGACGACGGGTGATTCAGATTCGTTTTCTGGAAACGGATCTAAATCATCCATCATCAACATTTAGTTTTTAGATCTTTGTGTCTCAACTAAAAGATTCAGTTCAAGTACAAAGAAAAATGTTTTTGTTAATTAGTGCAATAATAAAATAAATGTGTTGCTTTTTTGACCCACAGCAGAAAAACCAATAAAAGCAAAACCTCAGATTTTAATTACACCAAACTGATTTTAAATGTTTCAGTAAAATAAATATTAGGACAAACTGCAGAATGACTTTCTGTCCAGAAAAACGAAACAGTTAAATAAAAATCAGATTCAGATGAAAATATAAAAACCAAACGGTTGCATTTTGGATCAACATGAAGAAAAGTTATTTCAGTAAAAGTAAATCAAACTTTACATTTTAAACTAAATACTGATTGGTGAAAATGATTCAAACTGAGACAGAATAATAACCGCAACAAATCATTTCCTGTTAGCGAACATGAAAAACTTTCTACCAGCTGAACTAAACGTGAAACCAGAACCAGCAGTTTGAGAGAAAACAAAGATTTTAGGTGGAAAATCAGAAGTTTACAGCAAAATGTTCAGATCTGTTTGGACCTGAAAACTTTTGGCTGCATGGAGCAAAAAAACATTTTAATTAATACCAAGATATCATCCAAACTCTGGTCTTCATGTTACGCTAAGCTAAGCTAAGCTAACTCCAGTCTGGAGGGGAATTTACAGATTAGCATTTCATATTTGTGTGTATGAAAGACAAAATAATAAGAGGGAATTCATGATTAGGCTTGTCATGCATATAAAGGGTTAAATGTTTAAACTGGTTATAAGTTGATAAAAACTCCATGGAGAATTTCAGCCATTAATAAAAAAAACAGAAGAAACTTAACAGCATAAAGTTCCTGATCAAAACGTTCAAATAAAGTTTAAATGTTTTGAAATTGAAACATTTTTTAAATTTCAAATTAAAGCATCAAAGTGTCACAGAAACATTGAACATTTGAGCCCTTAATGAAACCGACCAGCGAAAAACACCAAACCTGTTCGGCTTCTACTGCAAATATCTCAGAAAACCTGAAATAAAAAATGCCACAAACCTTTTAAACAAATAATCATTTCACCTGCAGATTATTTCACTAATAAGACATTTTCCCATGTTACAAGTTCAATAATCTGCCAGTGGAAACAACTTTTAATGCAAATCAAATTATTTAATTAAAATAAGCTCCTACATTTTGCTGAAGTTACTTTAAGTTATCTTCGTATTATTTATAATACGAAGATAACTTATTATAAGATATTTTTTATAAAAAAGGAAAAAATTTACACAACTAAAGTTTGTGTTTTTGCAGCTTGGACAATTTTATCGTGACCCATAATCTGCAAAGCAAAAAATGAAGTTTTGTTTTCATCCCAGAAAAGATCCAATGAATAACTGAAACTTTTATAACTTTATATAATCCTGTCATTCTGCTCACAACACAAAGAAATTAAAAGTCACCAAGTAAAACCAGACAAAACGAAGAGATGCTGAGACATTTCTCTGGACATTCGCAAGTTTCCTACATTTTACGTTTAAACAGAAAAAGTTCAGAATAAAATATTCTCAGATGAAACTTTCCCTCCTGAACAGTTCAGAGTTTGTTCATCGGAAATGGCGGCGAGTCGCTTCGAGTTCTGCACCATCAGCGTTTTTACTCCTCCTCACTTCGTCTGAGGAGGTTCTATCCGGTTCTATCCGGTTCGATCCGGTTCGGTCAGGTTTGATCCGGTTCTATAAGGTTCTATCAGGTTCGATCCGGTTTGGTCCGGTTCAATCAGGTTCTATCCGGTTCAATCCGCTCGTTGCTCTGCAGCAGGGTGCGCTTCATTTCAGCACCAGCGTCGCCTCCGAGCCGTCCTTCTTCTTCAGGTACAGCCCGGCCGTCAGGTGGTGCTCCCTCCGCAGGAAGGCGTAGAAATAATCTGACACCAGCAGGATCTGGACCGGAAGCAAAAACACATTTTCAGCAGAAACTAGCAGAAAGTTGTCATGTTTTTATTGTGATATAACTAGCAGGTGGTTTCCTCGGTTCCCAGACGTCGGCCTGAGCGGGGGGTGCAGCGATGCAGTGATTTTGGCGTGTTTTCAGCCCCGCCCTCGCTGCTCTACCTGCGCCACGTTGAACAGCAGCGTGATGGCGTAGTAGAAGTTGGAGTTGGCGCTTCCAGCGTAGATCCAGAGATGCCAGAGAACCGGGAAGAGAGCGGAGCAGGCGAGCAGGACGCAGGAAACCAGGAAGATGTTCCTGAGGACTGGACAGGCAGGCAGGCGGCTCAGTAACACCAATAAATCAATAAACCACCAATAAATCAATAAACCACCAATAAATCAATAAACCACCAATAAATCAATAAACCACCAGTGAGGTCTACACATGGAAGAATCTCCACTAATGTTAATGATTTTGGTGATACTGAAATGCAATAACAGATTTGCTGTAGAGAATCTGAACATAAAACTTTTGGCTAAAATATATTTTCAGAAATAAGATTTTTTTTATCTTAAATATGACTTCCTTTAAATCCACTCGATGTTTGTTGAAAGCAAAAGTTTGTGCTGCATCTTAAATTCTAAAAGATTTTAACGGGAAATCCCCTCGCCTGGTTTTGGTTGTTTTTAATGCGTTTGTGCATCAGCTGGCCGACCTGCTGACCCCGTTGACCCCGACCTGACGCCAGGTGTGCAGTAAACACTCACATCTGTGCAGGTGACTCCAGACGGGGAGGAAGGCCAGGTAGAGCGCCGTGTCGCCCACGGTGGGGTAAGACTTAAAGATGGAGATCACCGCCAGCTGCATGAAAATCAGGAACACCGGCTGGTCCCTGCAGGACGACGCACACAGGGGCTTAGAGGGCGCAGGAAAAGGTCAGAGGTTAATGAGACAGGAGGACTGACTTCAGTTTGATGCACAGAGGGACGGTGTAGAAGAAGACATTGATCTGGAAGACGCAGAGGAAGAAGAGGCGGAAATGCTCAAACATCTCAGCGAAGAAATACCAGAAGAGGCCGATGTTGGGCGTCAGGTCAGGAACCGAGAGGCTGCAAGAAAAAACAGGAACATGGAGCTGGACCAGAGGACAACATGTCCCACAGCGCTCTCTGCTGGAGAAACGGAGAACTGCGTTTCTATCTTCAGCAGTCAGGAAGGGTTGGGATGAACTTCATGCCCAATTCAGCCATCAGAGGGCGCTGCACTGCAACTCTGTCCTTATTTAAATAAAAAACTCCACCTCTAGTCAAGATCCAATTAAATGAAACACTTTCATTTGTTTGCATATTAGCCTCGGAGCCAGAAAACCTTCATGGTGACGTTAAATTTAAAATTATCTTCTCCTGAGAAAACGTGTTCTCTGTTATGGAGCCTGTCTAAAGGAGCTTTTGACAATTCTTCTGAAAGAACATCTGTGAGGTCAGACTCTGATGTTGGATGAGAAGGCCTTTCTACAGAACCTGCTCAAATGCTTGGCTGTGTTCAAGTATGAAGAGCTCCCACCACAGGAAGTAAGAGATCAAGCTAAAAAAAAAAAACAGCATAATTTTTCTCTCCACCAAACTTTACACCTGGCAGTCAGGGAAATGCGGTTCTCCTCAGAACTCGTTTATTGGATTGGTTCTGATGGTCCAGAAATCTTCCGGTTGTTTTTCTGACTCACATGAAGCCGTAGACGGAGGGCAGGAAGTCCCAGGAGCCCAGCAGGAAGAAGGACAGGCAGACGATGACGAACAAACTGCCCAGGTACATGAACAGGTACTGAACCACGAACCACCAGAAGGCGGCGCGCCGCGGGTTCACCGGGACGTACTGGTGCTGAGGAGGGACACAGGCAGGAGAGAGGGCAAAACATGTCAGTGAGAACAGGAAGTACGCTTCAAAAACAGGAAGTACACTTCAAACAGGAATTACACTTCAAACAGGAAGTATGCATCAAAAAGAGGAAGTATGCTTCAAAAAGAGGAAGTATGCTTCAAAAACAGGAAGTACACTTCAAACAGGAATTACACTTCAAACAGGAAGTATGCATCAAAAACAGGAAGTAAGTACGTTTCAAAAACAGGAAGTACACATCAAAACCAATCAAAGCAGCGTACCTGCATCAGGTACAGCATGGCGGGGGCGCACAGCGTCAGAGGGTAGATGGACTGGTAGGTGGCCAAGCAGAGGAAAATGGCACTCAGCAGAACATTTCCTGAAAAACACAAATAAAATCAATAAAATCAAAGAATATGAAGATTAAACCACAAAGTTCAAACTATAATGAGAGGAAATAAACAATAACACTGGTCTGCTAAGCCATGGAAGAGAAATGCTGTGACAAAAACAAGGTATGCTAATGCTAACTGTGGCAATAAATCTGAATAAATAAATAAAAGGTTTTGTGCGTGGCACTTGAGTAAATCTTGGAAAGCATTTCTTTCAGCATCACTTTAGAAAGGAGAGCCTGGCTGTGTGGTCGACCTTTTATGGTTGTGAGGACAAACAGAGAGAGGACGGCGTTGTTCAGGCCGCAGGTCGACTTGGCAACGCAGGACAAGATGGTGAACGGGTTCAGCAGGTAACTGCCAGAGAACAAGAAAAAATGAAAACTGGGCATCAATTATCAGTTTAAACACTAAAAAATTTGAATCATGAACAAACATCGAGTTAAATAATAAACAGCATTATTTCAGGTGAGTTTTGTTTTTCTCCGTCCCGCGTTGCGCTGCAGATGTTTTTGCAAAGTCATCGTTAACACATAAGGTCAGCTTCCTGATGCTCTCTGAGCAGTGAGAGCGCCCTCTACAGGCGCTCCAGGTACTTACAACATGGCTACTTTCAGGGGGATGTAGAACATCTCAGTGGGGCTCCTGATGAGCTCCAGGCAGTCTGCAGGGTAACGCTCCGCCTCCAGGTAAAACTTCTGCCTCCTGAACTGAAAAGCAACAGAAACAAAGTGTTTTATCACCGCTACACAACGGAAAGTTCACTTTTAAGATATAATCTTAGATATACTGAGTGAGCATTAAACTCAAACATGATTCTACTGACACATATGGAGCTTAACAATACATCTTAAATTAAACATTCACAAAATGTATTTTTCTTTACAGATTGATTCTCACCACTTGCTTGTTAAAGTCCTTCATGGCCTCATAAAGAGCCACCGCTGTGATCACGTCCGCCAGCTAACAGGAAAACAGAAACCAACAACAATAAAAGAACTAAAGCTAAAGAGTTTCTCCACTCTGCAGTCATTTATTCCTCCTACCATGAATGTGATTTCTGCATAATCCACCAGAAAGTGAAAGAGGTAAATGATGAGAGGAGTCTGCAGAAAAGAAAAAGATCAAACATGAGACGTCGGGTGGAATAAATGTTTGATGATAAAATTAATCTCAGCCGGAATATAAAACAAAGAAACTGTTTTTCTCTAAGGAAAATTTCAAATACTCAAGCTCTTTAAGTTTTAATACTGAGGCAAAAACCGTACAAAATCAAACATTTTCACATTATATCCAAATCTACCTGTACTTTAAAATGGTTTTTAACCAACATGTGCATCAACAGCCAGATCTGACGTCTTACCTCGTGGAAAACATCGCCGGAATACGGAGAAACTCCCAGATCAAGCAGCGCTAAGCCTTCGATAACTGACCAGAAACAGAAACAAAGTGGCTCTGTCACCGGTTTCCTAATGTTACCTCTGATCGAATACGTTTAATACGTTTACAATAAAATAAATCTGACACACTGGGATGAGCTGGATTCAGATAGAAACCAAATATTTCTGTATTTTTAATTCAAAATGATCACATCAAACTACACAAACTATGAACACATTTTAGTCACCAAATAGATAGAAATGATATTAGAGAAAATCCCCTTTTGTTTTTTAAGTACTTTTAAAATCTGACAACTAAAACATTTCAGTGGAGACACTTTAGAAAATAACTGAACACATCCCATTTCTGATTTGATGAGAGTCAACGCATTTACATTTCAGACATAAGAAACAGATACGGCCATATTTTAAGTCTTTGTCTTAGTTTGTGGAGATTTCTGAAAATCTCCACAAACTTAAAGTTTGGCATATGAAGCATCTAATGCAACTACAACCACATTTAATTTCCCTTTGGGATCCATAAAGTAGTTTTGAACTGAATAAATCTGAAAAGTAAATATGGGACGAGTTAATTTAAGTGTAAGCAGTTGCCAGGTTCGGTTCGGTCCTTCATTATTCTGGTTCTGCTGGTTGTTTAATCGCTGACACACAGAAACTCAGATCTTTGTTCAAACAATAAAGAAACACATCAATAATAATTTTATATGTTTAAAAGCATAAATTAAATCCCTGCTAATAGATTGTTCCGTGTAAAAACTGGGTTTTAAAAAAAGATTTATCTGTATGTGTGCAGGTTTTAGCAGATGAACCGGTTTGACTTCACCCGTTGTCATCGGAGCGGCGAGGGAACGGGCAGGAACGGAAGGCCTGGAAAAGAGGCCACGGAGCTCCGCTCCAGGCCGGCTTACCTCGCTTCCAGGCGGTGATCGGAGACACCACCTCCACCCTCTCTGCGATCAGCTCCGCAAGGCTGGATCTGTTCAGGGCCGCGCGGATTGTGACGGCTACAACCAGAAGCAGAGACAAGGGAGCCGCCATCTTCACAAGGAAGCGCTCTCCGCCCGACCTGCGAGGGGAATGATGGGAAATGCAGTCCTATTTAGGACCGCTGGTGATGGAAGCGAAGGAGCAAACAGACCTCCACCAAAAATTAAACTTACATTTAAAAAACATTTTAGTAAAATTGACAGTATAAATAACAATACTGACAGTATTACATTTAAATTAGCATTTTATTTTGTACTTATTTCAGAAAATAATTAATTCTTAAACAAATATAAATATAATTATTTATCTTTTAAATAAAAATGTTTTGTTTTACTGTAACCATACAAAAAACACCATATATGAAATAATACGTAAAAACGGAACGATATTTCTTATACTAGTTCTGTTCCGGAAACCAAATGTGTTGCATCAAAACAAAACGAACTTTTCCGTAAAGTTAGAAAAAAATAAAGCAGCAACTTTTTCCCCAGAGATTTCTCTCTGGAGAAAATAAAAGTAACTACGATTGAAAACTGTATCTGCAATACAACAATTTAAATAATGAATAATCATTCATTGAAACATTAACAATATGATACTAATACTACTGCAACTAATTATTATTCTTATAATTATCATTACTTTGAAAATGAAATTAATGGTTTTCTCTCTCTCTCTCTCTCTCTCCACACACACACACACACACACACACACACATATATATATATATATATATATATATATATATATATATATATGGTATATATATATATCAGGAAAAATATCAGGAAAAACAACATCAGGAAAAAGGAGAAACTGGAGAAATACCAGGGCCTCAGAGAGGAACTGGAGAAGGCCTGGAAGGTGAAGACCACAGTGGTGCCTGTGGTCATCGGGGCCCTCGGGGCAGTCACCCCCAAACTGGAGCAGTGGCTAAAACAGATCCCAGGAACAACATCAGACATCTCAGTCCAGAAATGTGCAGTTCTAGGCACAGCCTTGAGAACCCTCAAGCTCCCAGGCCTCTGGTAGAGGACCCGAGCTCAGAGGATGAAAGAGACCACCCGCGGAGGGTGAGAAGGGAATTTTTTTTATTTATATATATATATATAATTTTATATTTTTTGTTGGACAAATTTCCCTCTTTGTCATCTCAGATTTAAGGTTTACAACCATTAACCTCTGTCGGAATATGTTTTGGTTCAAGCCGTATAAGGTTCAGTAATTTTACGAAATAATTTTATTGTATCGCTTCTGACATTAGTTTGTAATATGACTAACTCGATTTGACAACGTTCTTGTGCTTTTACTTTGAATTTCCCTGACAGGAAGTAGCTATGGTTGCTATGAGACTTCAGCGTAGACTTTCGTTTTCCTTTCCCCAGTTTAGATGCGTATCTGGTATTGACAGATGGGAGAAAAATGGCTGGTTTAGAGACGCTGTACACCTGTGTTGCAGATAAAATCGCGTGTCCGCAGGACGCCGTCGTGTGCTTCGTTCACTGGGAAATGATAAAGAATGGCTACCGGTGCATCGGATCTGGAGACGAGGTGAAAGAACAGGAAAATGGTTTTAATTTGATTAACCGTTGACCAGCAGAGGTTCGATTAGCGCCGAGCTCTGTCAATGTTTGGGCAGTTGAACATGACTAAAGGTCTCCAACTTGATTAACTTAATTAATAAAGAAATAAATTGATTAGTTTTTGTTGCCGAATTTAAGAGAAATTGGGAAGCAGTAAAATGCTATAAGTGATCTATTCTTTAAGATGAGACGGATTTGTGACATTCAGGGAGAAATTAAACAGTATGTTATTTTAATGGAGTTATGTACAAGCTTAGCTAAAGTCTTCAGATTAACTTTTTAATGCGCATTGTTATCCGGGTGTTAATAATTTCAGTACAAAATGCCAGACGTGTGTTAGCTTAGCATAAATCAGTCTGTTTTATTCAGACTTCCACGGGAAAACTTTGGAGATGTGAAAAACGTCGAGTCATCTTTGGGAGGCTAACGCAACTGCGTGAGGATAGACACTGTAAAATGGTAGTTATTTTGACTGAGTGTCTTATTTCTCTTTTTCTCTGTTGTATTTTAGCCTAGCAGCCGTGATAAGAAGTCAGAGCTGCTTCCTGCTGGCTGGAGCAGCAACAAGGAGCTGTACAGCCTGCGCTACCAAACCGGCGACACAGACACCGTGATGGTGCTGAAGGCCATCGCTGTGGACTCCACGCTCATCTTCAACTTAATGGTAACTCAGAAAACAGGACAGGCTTCTCTCGGCAGTTAAAATGAAAGTATCTGATGCTCCCTGTGTGATTATTGAAGCTAATAATCACACAGGGAGCATCAGATACTGACGCTGCGCTGTTTTCCTCTTCAGTGTTTAAATCTGGTGAAACCTTCACGTTTAGCTCAAATGCAAGAACAAATTATTTATATTACCACTGTAATTATTTATAATAGCAAGTTCCCTTTGTATTTGATCATCTTTTAAACCCTGACTGTGGTCAAACATTTTGAGCATAAGGCTTGAACTTTGACCCCCAAATCCTAAAGGAGTTGAAAAGGAGGCGTCATGGAGCATCACGCTCCGGCCGGCCAGGCTGCTGAAGGAGCAGCAGCAGATGAGGTGGATTAGCAGAGCTGATGATGTCATCAGGATGTTCCATCCATTTTCTTACACCCTCGACCCTGGGGGGATCAGGAGGGCCTTTTGACAGGCGGGGTCACCCTGGACAGGTCACCGGTCTGTCGCAGGGCAACACAGAGACAGACAGGACACACACACACACACACACACCTAAGGAGAATTTATACAGGCCAATTAATCTAACAGTCATGTTTCTGGACTGTGGGCCGGGAATCGAACCAGGACCTTCATTGCTGCCAACTGCACCACCGTGCAGCGCGACCATCAGGATGTTTTACTGCGCAGTATCGTCTCTTTTGAGCTTTAACATCGGAGTTGTCAGGCAGAACGTCTGATTAAAAGCTGCTGTTGTTTTGCAGAACTCCGGCACTAAGCAGGTTTCAGACCTGATGGTGAACGTCGGCGACCAGGTCAACGCTGACCAGCTGCACACGTTTGACAGGTTGGTTTTTACCGGCTTCGTTTGTCTCACCTGAGAACTGAAAACTTCCTGCATACACACTTAGTTGTTTGAATCATTCCTACATATAGAAATAACACATTCTGCCAACAATAACCAGCTGGACAGGTAACGATATAAAACAAGATGTTGTTCCGGTAACAACCAGCTGGTCGGTGACGGAGCCTCTCTGTGCTGCAGCGTGTTCAGAGACGCAGACGGTTTGTCTGAGAAGGTGAAGGCTCAGCTGCTGCCCCGCCCAGAGAAAGCGCCGGAGCGCAGCAGACGGGAGGAGGGCGAGTCGTCTCAGAGGAGGACGGAGGAAGACGGAGACCCCCTGCGGCTGCCCTGCAGACACCCCCGCCACGGGCCGCAGCCCCACTGGTCAGTAAGCAACGGCGTCCAGGAAACCGCCTCGCTCTAATAAACTGTCTTCACTAATTGGTTTTATGTGTTTAATTACACACAAGATAATATTATCTACCACATATTTAATAAACCAATGTTTCCATTTCTCTTGTGACATTATTTTTCTATTAAATGTGGTTTTAGTTTCAGAATACGAAGATTATTCCTCTGATTAATAACTCAAAACACATCAGAGCAAAGATTCATCTGTAAATTCATCATTAGCTGCTAAAGTAGATAAAAAACATCAGAATGACCAGAAGGAAATCTTCACAAAGAATCACTAACAAAACCACTAAAATATAATTTTTTTCTTCTGTCAATAGGTTGCAAACTGTCATTTTTAAGGCAGTTTTCTAAAGACTTTAATGTCTTATTTGATGAAAATGTATAAAAGCTAAAAACTAAACTAAATATTTTTATTTAAAAGTCTAAACAAAATTCCTTTTATGTGAACAGATTATATTTACCTGGACTGAAGGTAAAAATGAATCTTTGGGTTTTAAAGTTTGTTCATTTCAATTCAGCTCAGTTTATTTCTAAAGCGACAAATTCCCAGAGCAGCAGTGCCCAGAGTGGGTCCTGGAGACCCGGCGTGTTTTAGTCCCCCGTTCCAGAAACGACCTCGTCAGCAGGTCCGGTTCTCCTCAGGCCTCTAATGATCCGTCACTGGATCCAGGTTAAACCAGGGAGAGACTAAAACACGCAGGATGTCGGGCCAACAGGACCCACTTTGGGCACCAGAGGAACTCAACTAAAAATAATTTAAATCTGATTATACAATTTATCCAAGTGATCAATCAAATCATTAAACTCAATTAATTATTCAAATTAGTTTAAATAGTTCCTGAGGAAACCGAACATTGATCCTGTCATCCTGACCAGCAGGGGGCGACGGCAGGAAAATCTCTTGTGTTGACTTATTGATTCCTTGGTACTGAGCATGCACGTGGTGACAATGGAGAGGAAAACTCTCCTTTAGCAGAAAGGAACCAGGGAGTGCTGTGGTGGCGCAGGGGTTCAGCACAACCCACATATGGATGCCTCAGTCGCAGGTTCGATTCCCAGCCTGGCGACCGTCACTGCATGTCTTCCCCTTCTCTCATTTCCCACTTTCCTGTCAATTAACTATCAAATAAAGGCCAAACAAATCTTTAAAAAAAAACAGGAAGGAACCAGAACCCGGTTTTTAAACGCAGCGGTCAGATGGTGATCGGTAGAACTCGTGTCTCAAGTTAAGACCTTAAAAACGTCTTAATTTCAGTTACAGACTGGAAGTTGGCCTGAAGTTTGTTAATCAGATTTAACATTTTGTTAGAAATATTTTATGTTTTTTTTTTTTTTACTTTTCTGTCAGGCAAAAGTTTGGGTCTTCATTCGTCCTGTGACTGGAGGTGGTCGAGGCTACCGCTAACAGACCCTAGCTAGCTACGTTTTCTGTGCTTTTCATGTGTAAATTTGTTTGGCTGGACGACGTTTTCATCTGCAGTGAGAAACTCAAAGCTGAAACACAGCGTCAGTTCTTGGCTCGTTTTATTGTGATGCAGCTCTACAGTTGGTGACATTAAAAGG